GCTCTGCTAGAAATTAAGTCTGTAACAAGGTGCCGATCCTGCCTTTACCCCTGTAAGCAAAAGGCTCCTGTGCCCACATATAGCTGTACTGACCGCAACGGGGCGTTTATGACAGCAGGATCAGGGACTTGTCCTATAACTTGCTTTTAATAAAATAAATGGAATGGAAAATGTATTGCAATAAAACAGTAGAAACCCACCGACAATTCTGAGTTGTAATTCTTCCCTTTTAGAGGGCTCACCGACGCTAAGCTGGAAAACATGACTAAAGACAGGGCCTGAGTGGTGCCCTGAGTGGCTCATGTCACCACTAAGTAAACACAAACTGATTCAGGTCTTGCATCCCCTTCTGTGACTGGGCTGCAGCGGGCTGACGCAGAGCCCACTGAACTCACTGGACATCTCACCAAGAATCTCACTTTCAGTAGGCATTGGTCCAAATCCTGAACTTAGGCAGTATGGTCTGCAATCTGCTTTGATCTCTTCCTTGATCAAAGCCATTTTTATTACTTAATTATGTCTGTATTTATGCTTTGTATATAATCACTTTATACTTCTGTTGTACAAGATGGAGTACAACTACTAGAGATACTACTGCACTAGCATGTTATACCTGGCACTGCTTACAAAAGCTGCTGTTTCACGGTCATAGTAATTGGTGTCTTATGTTCTTTGCCTGAAAACAACCTGAATATTGATCCCTGAGGTACCATCGCTCTCAACTAAAGCATTGTCCCAGGTTTTTTACTTTCAGGAGAGAAAAATGAAATACACCCAGCTCTTGACAAGCTGTTAGACCACGGATCGATGTTCCTCCAAATGCACAGTCTCATGCTTGCACTCAGGGAGCCACTGCATAATTAACTTCTGCAGGGGGGGCACCCCTTATTCCACCACCCACCCCGTCCTGGGTGCCCGGCACTACACAGCCCACCCTCCTCCCACTTTGCCTTCCCTCATCTTGGGAAGGAGTGAGCATTCAGCCTGGAAATACTTTCTCCTGGGATATGCAACTTGTGCTCAATGCTTTATTCCTACTCCCCAGCTTGGCTCTTTTGAGTGATTCCTTTTGCATGCTTTGGCCCTTATCTTGTAAGCAAAAGCTTGTATTTGTTTACTGTGAGATTCTGGTGAGAGGTCTCTTTTGGAGCCGGCTGCCCTTCGTTGGGTGTTATCAGTGAGCCCAGGCATAAATCACTTCTGACTCTGAGTCACAGAAGGTCTGTAACCACGAGGGGTGTCGGTCTCATCACAGGCACAATTTAAAGAGGCTGCAGAACTACCCATGCTTTTGTTCCACTAACTAGTTGAAAATATTTTCCTTAAAGCATTCACTACACCAAAGTAGTGTTCAGGAAGAGTCAAATTCTGCTCACGGCTGCCTAAGCATAAATCCATACCAACTTTTCTGGGTTTATTTCAGTACATTCCATTAATGTATCAAAACACAAAACTTCGACCCTGGCAGACTGACTGACCTTATCACCAGTGTAACTTTCCTGACTTGAATAGTGAATCCCATAACGGCATTTCCAGCATCTGTGGTGGGTGTCACAGGTCCCATAATGCTTGGTAATTTATATAAAATTTGAGTTCCCCGTGGTGTGTGTGAATGCAACGGAATTACGGCTTTATTTAATTAGGGAAAAAAAAGGGTTCTGGTAGTGAATAGAAAAATTTGAAAGTGGGACCCCAAGGCTCAAACTCGGGAAATAAATAGGACGCAATGAGCTGTGTTTATACGTTGTGGCTCATAGGTTGGAACAGCTGGAGTATTGTTGAGGTGTCATTATGTTAGGGTTAACTGGCTCAGTGTTTAAATACATGTGAGTGGGTTAAATGCGATGTCTAAGTATCATGTGTGCACTTTTTAGGAAAAAAAAAGTAAGCAAAACAGTGTATGTTGGCTTTGGTCTTATCCTCAGTTTCTTTAATGCCAATTACCACATTTGGCTCCTGTAGAAAACCTCTAGAGGAAAGGCCCAACAATACCATAGGAGAGGGCTATAGGACCCGGGTAAACGCATGTGTGATGCGTCATCTCCTGAAGCACACAGCAGCATGACAGCCATTTTCCAGCGTGACGATAAATGTACCCTAATTTGCCGCTGTCCCTTACGTGCCTGACCTTGCTTCCCCCTCCCTACGCATATGGTTGCCTGCAGCCTAGTCACCCGCCAGGATGCCCACTGAATATTCAGCGCCGAGTTCCCCCTGCACGCTGGGGGTACACCCGCACTGCGTCCTGAGGAGGTCGCTCGGGCTGGTTTCTGCACGGGAGTGACGGAAGGTGGCCCTCGCCAGCCCAGCCCTGAATAGCGGGGCGGTGGGCACCTCGGGAGCAGGCGCAGAGGTACCCGCGAGGGCTTTGGGAGGATGGGGTAAGAGCGGGTGAAATTCTTGCTCCACTGAAGTCAGTGTCGGCGTTGCCAGCACTGCCATACGGCATACACAGGTGTGGTTTTCTTCTCTTACATGGTTAAGCAAAATAGTGTGTGAAACAAAGTACGTTTTTTAAAACCCACCCTGTTTTCTGCCTATGTTAAATTTAGGATGCAAGTCCTTGCCTTGCTGTGGTGTCGCTTCTTATTTATAAACTTTATTGGGCTTTTAAGTAAGTCATTAACCATAAGCCTCAAATTAGCAGATGTGTGCGGTTCCTTCCCCTCCGCTCAGATGAAAGGACACACCAGCTCTGTTCAAAGCAGAGCAAAGCCTCCACTGACTTCACAGGGTCCAAGATTTCTGCTCCAGCTTCGGCTCCAGATGCCGGACCACTTCCACTCCCTCTTGCTTTATCTGAGAGACCTAAGACACACAGGCCTGAGGGTCTAAATGGCACGATGGTGGGCTTCTATTAACGCTTCTCATCTAATTGCAGTCGCCTTTAATTTTTGCCTTTTCTGCTCTTAACCGGTCTTGTCAACCTGCTTCTTAGCCAGGGCAAAATTAAGCATGAGGAAGAAGGCTTATTCAGCATTATAATTATCTACTCCCAAGCTGTATAAAAAAATGGTTTACACATTTAATTGGTTTTGTCTAATATTTCCACGTATACAGTAGTCCTATTAATGAATATCATAGCTTCATTACTGCATATCACATTTTGCTATTTGTTGTGTAGCATAAAATAACGTCAGCACATCAATAACTTAAATAACACAAATGTAAACTCATTTTCTGCTTGTTATAATTATGATTTTAGCCTGCAAAGGCTTTTTGATTTGTAAGACCATTCACATAACATGGAATGTAACTTTATTTGTTTTTCTTTTGTATATAATGAGACACCGAAAGCCCTTGTCATCTCTTAACAGGATACTAAAGCAGCTCTGTTTCATGAATGACAGCACAATTAAAGCTAAAAATCATAAATTAAAAAAAAACAAACCTTTGTACTGCACAATCTCAAATTAAAGCAAGAAAGATAATGACAATCTTTTGCATTAGCCAGGAAATGTGATTCTCTGCCACTGGGCTTTTTTTTTCTTGTTGACAATTCACAGGATGTATATATGGGTGTAGTTATAGGTGTGTGTATATCCTATGCAGAACAGCAGTCCCTATTTTGTTGATCTAGTTCTTCTAATCGTTTAGTTAAACTACCTAACTGATACAATTTAGAATACTACATTAACACATTTAACATCAAGTTTACATACTTGCGTCTTTGAAATACTAGGAACTTTTACACATTTTATTTGGCTTTGTAAGGACTGGAATATCACAGAGAATGCAATCTACTTGTCTTTGAAAGAATATGGCTGTTCTCAACTAACTCTCTAAGGTTCAGAGTGAAATACATTTCTCCTTATATCTGTAGCTGACTTCCGAGAAGAAAGAGGGG